ACTTACAGTATGCACCAATAAGCACAGACTTAATGGCGTCCACCTGAGAGTAGCAACAGTACCAACAACAAGAAGTACAGTAGGTGTCTTATATAGAGATGGATGATGGCGTGTGAAGGGGGGGAGGGGGGCGTAATAAAGATGGTATTGTGTAGACTGCCTACCATCAATTTAATGGCGCGTGTAATGGAAGCAGACATGGAAGAGAACGCCATTAAAAAATACAATTGATAACGATGGGGTAAATGCACACGGAAGTAATTTGTGTAGTAGAAAGGCAGATAATGAAGGCTTTATATCGTTAATGTAAAACCTATCGCATACTTTCACACTTCACACGATAATGGTCTTTTAAAACGCGGTAATTTGTCGCTGAATGATACTGTCACTTGTGGGGAATCATTGTTTGTTGATAATTGTGAAGGAATTTTAAATTATTTGAAATTAATAAAAGAAAATGGGTTTGATTGTTTAGGGTGGGGGTACTGGTGTAATAAACAGAGATGCCCTAAAACTTCTATAAAACACTTATGCAAAAGGTTTTGAATAGTTACGTCATTTGTATTTTTTTTTAGACCAGTATTGTTGAATTATGACGCATTGTAAAAGCTATAGACCAGTAGGTTTCGACAGTGATGCTATGTAAAAGTTTTAGGTCAGTAGAGTTGAACAGTGACGTATTGTAAGTGTTTTAGGCCAGCAGTGTTGACCGTCTTTTGTTTCGTCAATATACACACTCAACCATTAATTGTTAAGATACATATACCTTTCATTATAACACCTGAGAATAAGGAACAAACAATTAAGAACCAGAATGTATTATAAAAATGCTAGTTTATTCTCGCTTTGTGATACTAATTAGCGTGTTTTCTCATTAATGTTGAAGGCAGCGTTAATATACTGCGCGAGAGAATAGAACACATACACCAACGAGTACTTTCATCAACAACGAACACAAATACAGTATAAAAAACAGAAAAACCTTGAAATATGATCAAATACCCTACGTAGACAACAACATGCAAAGAAATAAACAGTTAGCTATATGCAGCCAACCCAGAGCTCTTGATTTGCATAATAAAACACCCATGCACGTATTTGGTTAATTAACAGCGTTGCCTTTGTGAGTGTGCTGCCTTTCTAGCACTCGTTTTATAAAGAATGTTTTGCGATTAACGAGAAAGGCGTTATGATTCGTGAAACAACGCTTATTATTCGTTAAAACACCTTAATTCTATTATGGAGAGGGAATTGGTATTGGAAATTGCATTCAGGTTTTTGAGAGAGGAATTTTTCTTTTGTTGATGAGAGTGCGATTAACATTCTCTCTTTCCCTTTCTCTTTCTCTTTTTCAGTTTTGTTATTTGAGAGAAAGACAACTATGTTTTAGGTAAGTTAAGAGTAGGGTAATAATACTTGACCCGTAACTTCTATTAGTGCGTAAAAATTAGGTCATGGTGACTTTTGACCTCTTCAGGGAACGCCAGATTACATTGGGGTGGGCCAAGTTAGGTCACAGTGTCTTGGATTAAGATAGGGTTGTGTCAGGTTAGGTTAGGGTGTGTCGAATTATGTCAGGGTGTCTTAAGTTAGGTTAGTTTGGATTAAATTATGTCATGTTAGGTTAAGTTAGGTTAGGTTAGGGTGTGTCGGACTAAGTCATGGTGTGTCATGTTAGGTTAGGGTGGAATATGTTAGATTAAATTATGTCATTTTAGATTAGGTTAGGTTAGGGTGATTCAGATTAAGTCACGGTGTCTCAAGTTAGGTTAGTTTGGAATATGTTAGATTAAATTATGTCAGGTTTGGTTAGTTTTCAGGTTAAGTTAGGGTGTACCGCGGGTTTATTTACGCTAACGCAACAGGTATAGCACCAGTTTCCTAACATCAGAGAATCTAGTGTCCTTTGACCTGTGAAAAAACGGTTCACAATTATTTTTGAGGTCGACTTGTACCGTAAAACCCGAGGTAGGAACCATGTCAGTGCCAGACCCTCATACTGTGGCACCCCTAGACACACCCAGGCACCAGACCCTCATACTGTGGCACTCCTAGACACACCCATGCACCAGACCCTCATACTGTGGCACCCCTAGACACACCCAGGCACCAGACCCTCGGGTAAATCACCACCACTACGTGTTCACAATTTTTTCCTCACTCTCAGAAAGAATAATATGTATGTACTCTGCCTCTCCCGGGGTCGCTAATCTTGCCCGTCGCTTTATACCGCAATAAAGAGTATGATAACAGCGTAGGTTTGTGGAGTGTGTGTGTGTGTGTGCTAGGGATGTTTATGGTTTTGTATTGGTTGTGTTATCGATTCATTTGTCTGGTCTCTGTGTGGTGGGTGATCCTGAAGGTCTTAAGACATAGTTCTAATGTGGCCAATGTTTTTCCCATCGCAGCAGCATCTACACCAGCAACATCAGCAACAACAACAACAACAACAACAACAACAACAACAACAACAGCCGCAACAACCACAGCAACAAAAAGAACAGCAGAAGCAGAACCAGCAAAAGAGTGTGGAGGGAGAACGTCGACGAGGGGAGCTGCCTCGTCAGGACGCTGTGGCTGAAGAAGTGGACGCCAGAGAAACAGACCCGCTCAAGGTAGTGTCTCTGTGTGCCTATCTGTCTGTGTCTCTTATGTCATAGTCAACAGGTAGGAAGTTAATTAAGTAAACAGGATGGTGAGAGTAGAGGTAGGCAGCTTGGTGGACAGGTATACTGGTGCCTCGATAATAAACATGGAAGAGTAAGGTAGTGGGATTTATTTACATCGGTACATATTTAGGCAGTCCGTAAATAGATAACTCAGGTAGACAGGTAATAGTGTGTGTTGGGGGTGTCAAGTCTCCAGCAGTACATTAGGTCAGGTGGACAGATTGGTAGGTATTAATTTACCCATTTATCCATCAACCTGCTTACTCTTATATCCATCTGCCAGTCTACCCGTCTACCTATCTACCCACAAAGGTATACCAATAGACAAGCTTTACTGCTGTATTTAATGTCTGGTGGATAAAACAAAGTCTACGGTCCCTCCCAGCCTCGTTTCACTCACTGTCTACATCTCCAGGCATTGAGGGGAAACTTGTTAAAAAAAAAATTAATTCGTATACCTTTAAGTTTTTAAATAATAAGTGATCATTCTTCTCAGCCAAAGTAGTTTAGTTTTTAAAAATGAGACTTGCTATTATTATTATTATTATTATTATTATTATTATTATTATTATTATTATTGTTATTGTTATTGTTATTGTTGTTATTATTATTATTATTATTATTATTATTGTTATTGTTATTATTATTATTATTATTGTTATTATTATTGTTATTGTTATTATTGTTATTATTGTTATTATTATTATTATTATTATTATTATTATTATTATTATTATTATTATTATTATTAGTCTTATTATTATTAGTCTTATTATTGTTGTTGTTGTTATTGTTATTATTATTGTTATTATTAATATTATCATGAGTTTTTGGTCTTGAGAACAGTATGGGCGGGACCGTAGACCTGAACTCAGCCATTTTTTATCTCAATGTCTCCCGAAATACTTTTGGTTATTAAATGTTGAGCATATAGCACTATTCTGCCCTAGCACCTCCCCTACACCACCATACACTTACCCAGTACACTATCTACACCTCCCTTACACCACCCCTTCACCATCTTACACCTGCTCATTACACTATGTATACCTCCTTACACTTACCCAGTACACTATCTACACCCCACCCAACCACCACTACACCTACCCATAAACCTACACCCAACCACCTACACCTACCCATAAACTAACTACATCCCACCCAACCACCACCACCCTACCCCATAAACTAGCTACACCCACCCACCACCCTAAACTAGCTACACCCACCCAACCACCACCACCTGCCCATAAACTAACTTCATCACCCAACCACCACCACACCTACCCATAAACTAGCTACATCACCCAACCACCCTTCACCTACCCCATAAACTAACTTCACCCCAACCACCACCACACCTACCCCATAAACTAGCTACCCACCAACCACCACCACACCTGCCCATAAACTAGCTACACCCACCCAGCCACCACTACACCTACCCCATAAACTAGCTACATCCCACCCAACCACCACCACACCTACCCATAAACTAGTACACCCACCCAACCACCACCACACCTACCCATAAACTATTACACCCACCCAACCACCACTACACCTACCCCATAAACTAGCTACACCCCACCCAACCACCACTACACCTACCCCATAAGCTATTTCCCCACCCAACCACCACTACACCTACCCATAAACTAGCTACACCCACCCAACCACCACTACACCTACCCATAAACTACACCCCACCCAACCACCTACACCTACCCATAAACTAGCTACACCCCACCAACCACCCACCACCTCCCATAAACTATTTCACCCACCCACACCACCACCTCCATAACTGCCCCCACCCACACCACCACCACCCCAAACTAGCTACACCACTCACCCCACCACCCACCCAACCAACCACCACCCACCTACCCATAAACTAGCTACACCCACCCAACCACCACTTCACCTACCCCATAAATAGCTACACCCACCCAACCACCACTACTACCCCATAAACTAGCTACACCCCCACCCAACCACCACCACACCTACCCCATAAACTAGCTACACCCCATCCAACCACCACCCACTACACTTCTACTGTATACTCACTCCAAGAAAAAAATATCTTTACGATTTGGTGTTAGACATTATGACACAACGGACGAAGAATTTTGACAACCTTAACCGAGACAACAGTAGGAGTCACAGTGTTCATATTGTGAGTTATCGAACCCCTCCGTCAAGATACTTTTTGGGGTGTGTATCTAAGTCCCATGTACCACTTACCCTGCTATACTACTATGATTCCTTCTACACTTCCCATCGTACCCAACCACCCATCACCACTGTTGCACCCACTCATCACCACTCTCACACCCACCCCATCATCACTCTACACCACCCCCTCACCACTCTACACCACCCCATCACCCTCCCACCTCACCACTCTACACCACCCATCACTCTACACCACCCCCTCACCACTCTACACCACCCCCTCACCACCTCTACCCCACCCCCTCACCCTCCACACCACCCCCCCACCCCCCACCACCCCTCACCACTCTACACCACCCACCACCCACACCACCCACCCTCTCACACCCCTCACCACCCCACACCACCCCCTCCCCACCACACCACCCCATCACCACTCTACACCACCCCACCACCCCACACCCCACCACCCACACCATCCCACCACCCCACACCCCCACCACTCTACACCACCCCATCACCACTCCACACCACCCCATCACCACCCCACACCACCCATCACCACCACACCACCCCTTCACCACCTCTACACCACCCCATCACCACTCTACACCACCCATCACCACTCTACACCACCCCTCACCACTCTACAACCCCCCCACCCTCTACACCACCCCCACCACTCTACACCACCCCTCACCACTCTCCACCACCCCCCACCACCCCACACCACCCCCCACCACTCTACCACCCCCTCACCACCTACACCCCCCACCCACCCCCACCACCCCCAACCACCTTCCACACCACCCCCACCCCACACCACCCCCCACCACCCCACACCCCCCACCCCCACACCACCCCCACCACCCCACACCACCCCCACCACTCTACACCACCCCCTCACCACTCTACACCACCCTCACCACCCCACACCACCCCTCACCACTCTACACCACCCTCACCACTCTACACCACCCTCACCACTCTACACCACCATCACCACCTACCCACCCCTTCACCATTCTACACCACCCCATCACCACTCCTACACCACCCCCATCACCACCTCTACACCACCCCATCACCACTACCACCACCCCCATCACCACTACTACACCACCCCATCACCACTTACACCACCCCATCACCACTCTACACCACCCTATATACACCCTTTATCACCACTCACACATCTTACTCTACACCACCCCATCACCACCCCACACACCACCCATCTGCCTCCTACATACACCACATCACCACTACTACACCACCCATCACCCTCTACACCACCCCCATCACCACTCCCACACCCATGCCTCTACACCACCCATCACCACTCTACACCACCCCTTCACCACTCTACACCACCCCATCACCACTCTACACCACCCCATCACCACTACTACACCACCCCATCACCACTCTACACCACCCCTTCACCACCTGCACCCAGCACTACCCATCCCCAACTTTCCTCACCCTAACAGCCAGACGACCAGAACAAAGATGCACTCGACATCATATCCATCGCCGATCCGCCCGCCCCCGCCCACACACCCTCACGACCACTACGCCCACGCCTCCTGAAGACACCGAACTGCTTGGGCGTGGGGAACCTGTGGCCGAGGAGGTTTTCCATGTCGTCCAGGTCGTGTTCAGATGACAAGAGCGACGTCTCCGAGGTTGGTGCTGGTGGTGGTGGTGGGTGGGCAAACTTCAAACGCCAGGTAGTGAAGCCAGTCCTGTTGTTGGCTGTGTGGTCGTTGTTGACAGTGTGTTAGGAGTGTGTGTGTGTGTGTGTTGATGTTGTGGTCGTTTCAGTCACTATAGAGGTCTGTTAAGAGTGTGCTGTGTCTGTTAGAAGTGTGTCTTGTATAAGTGTCTAAGACAAGTACAGGACAGTAGTCGTGTTGAGTGGTGTAAGTAGCTAGTAAAAAGTAGCTAGTTTAGTGGTGAAAGTAGCTAGTAAAAATAATTGGTTTAGTGGAGAAAGTAGTTTGCAAAAAGTAGTTGGTTTAGTGGAGAAAGTAGCTAGTAAAAATAGTTTGTTGAGTGGAGAAAGTGGTTAGCAAAATGTAGTTGCCTTAGTGGAGAAAGTAGCTAGTGAAAGTAGTTGATTTAGTGGAGAAAGTAGTTAGTATAAAAGTAGTTGTTATAGTAGAAAAGTAGACATTTTTTAGAAAAGTAAGATAATGTACTTTAGTCCAGAAAATACAGGACTTAGCTTCACAATAATTCAGTATCCCCAGTAGATTTAAGAAAGTATGTTGTGTATAATGTAGAAAGTAGTTCCTGTCACTAAAATTATTTGTTTTTAATTTAAAGAAAGTAAAATATTATAGAAAGTAACTTATCTAAAGAAAGTACCGATTCAAAAACAAAATTAAAAAGTAAATTGTGTCATAAGATAAAACAAAAATTATTTCAAAACTAAAATTAAAATATATAGGAACTAAGATATAAAATTTTCACCTCTATAAATTAAAAAAAATATATCCATGTTTAATTAAAGACTTTAAGAAATATGATAATGAAATAAAAAATTCTGTATGTCTCAAAAACTCTTAATTTAAGGACCTGTGATATTTAGTTTCTAGGGAAATATATAAATTTTTATTTAGGAACTTATTTCTTTTAGGGGGGAAATATTACACAGTACATATATTAAAGTGTATTTCCTCTGTCATCCCAAAACTTCTCTTTAGACTGTCATAACTGTACACTGTCATAACTGTACACTGTCATAACTGTACACTGTCATAACTGTACACTGTCATAACTGTACACTGTCATAACTGTACACTGTCATAACTGTACACTGTCATAACTGTACACTGTCATAACTGTACACTGTCATAACTGTACACTGTCATAACTTTAGACTGTCATAACTGTACGCTGTCATAACTGTACACTGTCATAACTTTACACTGTCATATCTGTACACTGTCATAACTTTACACTGTCATAACTGTACACTGTCATAACTGTACACTGTCATAACTGTACGCTGTCATAACTGTACACTGTCATAACTACACTGTCATAACTGTACACTGTCATAACTTTACAGTCATAACTGTACACTGTCATAACTTTACACTGTCATAACTCTACACTGTCATAACTTTACACTGTCATAACTGTACACTGTCATAACTTTACACTGTCATAACTGTACACTCATAACTTTACAGTCATAACTGTACACGTCATAACCGTACACCGTCATAACTGTACACTGTCATAACTGTACACTGTCATAACTTTACACTGTCATAACTGTACACTGTCATAACTGTACACTGTCATAACTGTACACTGTCATAACTGTACACTGTCATAACTGTACACTGTCATAACCGTACACTGTCATAACTGTACACCGTCATAACTGTACACTGTCATAACTGTACACTGTCATAACTGTACACTCATAACTGTACACCGTCATAACTGTGTCACTGTCATAACTGTACACTGCTAACTGTACACCGTCATAACTTACACTGTCATAACTGTACACTGTCATAACTGCACACCGTCATAACTGTACACTGTCATAACTGTACACCGTCATAACTGTACACCGTCATAACTGTACACTGTCATAACTGTACACCGTCATAACTGCACACCGTCATAACTGTACACTGTCATAACTGTACACTGTCATAACTGTACACCGTCATAACTGTACACTGTCATAACTGTACACTGTCATAACTGTACACTGTCATAACTGCACACGTCATAACCGTACACTGTCATAACTGTACACTGTCATAACTTCTACAGTCATAACTGTACACCGTCATAACTTACACCGTCATAACCACACCGTCATAACTGTACACTGTCATAACTGTACACTGTCATAACTGCACACTGTCAACTTCACACGTCATAACTGCACACCGTCATAACTGTACACTGTCATAACTTGTACACTGTCAACTGACACCGTCATAACTGTACACCGTCATAACTGTACACTGTCATAACTGTACACTGTCATAACTGTACACCGTCATAACTGTACAGTCATAACTGTACACTCGCCTAACTGTACACTGTCATAACTGTACACTGTCATAACTGTACACTGTCATAACTTTACACCGTCATAACTTTACACCGTCATAACTGCACACCGTCATAACTGTACACCGTCGCTTCTGTACACTGTCATAACTGTACACTGTCATAACTGCAACCGTCATAACTGTACCCGTCATAACTGTACACCGTCATAACTGTACCGTCATAACTGTACACTGTCATAACTGTACACTGTCATAACTGCACATTTAACTGTACACTGTCATAACTTTACACTGTCATAACTGTACACCGTCATAACTTTACACTGTCATAACTTTACACTGTCATAACTGTACACTGTCATAACTGTACACCGTCATAACTGTACACCGTCATAACTGTACACTGTCAACTGTACACTGTCATAACTGTACACTGTCATAATTTTCCATTGTCATAACTGAACACTGTCATAACCTTACACCGTCAACTTTACACTGTCATAACTTTACACTGTCATAACTGTACACCGTCATAACTTTACACTCATAACTTTACACCCTTAACTTTACACTGTCATAACTTTACACTGTCATACTCTTTACACTATCATAACTTTACACTCATAACTTTACACTGTCATAACTGTACACTGTCATAACTGCGTAAACTGTCATAACTGTACACCGTCATAACTGTACACTGTCATAACTTTACACTGTCATAACTGTACACTGTCATAACTGTACGCTGTCATAACTTTACACTGTCACACTCTTTACACTGTCATAACTTACACTCATAACTTTACACTGTCATAACTGTACACTGTCATAACTGTACGCTGTCATAACTTTACACGTCATACTTTACACTGTCATAACTTTACACTCATAACTTTACACTGTCATAACTGTACACTGTCATAACTGTACCCGTCATAACTGTACACTGTCATAACTGTACACTGTCATAACTTTACATTGTCATAACTGTACACTGTCACTGCACCGTCAACTGTACACTGTCATAACTGTACACTGTCATAACTGTACACCGTCATAACTCTACACTGTCATAACTGTACACTGTCATAACTGTACACTGTCATAACTGTACACTGTCATAATCACACTGTCATAACTGTACACTGTCATAACTTTACACTTGTCATAACTGTACACTGTCATGACTTTACACTGTCATAACTTTACACTGTCATAACTGTACACTGTCATAACTATACACCGTCATAACTGTACACTGTCATAACTGTACACTGTCATAACTGTACACTGTCATAATTCTTACACTGTCATAACTGTACACTGTCATAACTTTACACTGTCATAACTTTACACTGTCATAACTTTACACCGTCATAATTTCATATCGTCATAACTGTACACCGTCATAACTGTACACTGTCATAACTGGTACACTGTCAACTGTACACTGTCATAACTTTACACTGTCATAACTGTACACTGTCATAACTGTACACTGTCAT